GGTTTCTTTCTTCCGGGATTTGTTCTTGTCGCGTATTCGATAGATTTGTTGATTTGTATGCTTCGTCGCGAGACCGATCGTCGAACGCGCGTTGGTTAATATACGCGTGCTGATCGATGCGCGCGGGCTGATTGACGTGCGCGCGTTGACTGGCGCGCACGAGGTGATTTGACGTGCACTCGTTGACTGGCGCGCACGAGTTGGTTGACGTGCGCGCGTTGACCGACGCGCACGAAATGATTTGACGTGCGCGCGTTGACCGGCGCGCACGAGATGATTTGACGTGCGCGCATTGACCGGCGCGCACGACGAGTTGGTTGACGTGCGCGCGTTGACTGGCGCGCACGAGTTGATTGACGTGCACGCGTTTGACCGACGCGCACGAGTTGGTTTGACGAATCTTCTTGACTCGCCCATTCATTGCTTCGAGTTTCGTGCGGGCTCTCGTAGACAATTTTAGACGCCTACAGTCTCCATCCTATTCGAAAGACTTCTGGGAAAAGAACACATGAAATTGCGTTCAGGGATGATAGTCCCAATGAACCAACATACAATGAGGAAGTTGAACCTAGAAGGAGTAAGAGAATGAAAGTCTCTAAATCTTTTGGTCCAGACTTCATAGTATATGCGCTCGAGAGTGAACCTCAAACATTCAAAGAGGCTATGTCTACACCAGAAGCACAAATATGGAAAGAAACTGTAAACAGCATAATCGAGTCCATTCTAAGTAACCATACTTAGGAGTTGGTTGACTTACCACTAGGGAGTAAACCACTCAAGAGTAAGTGTATTTTCAAATAAAAATTAAAATCTGATGGATCGATTGAGAAATACAAGGCTAGGTTGGTAGTAAAGGGATACTGACAAAAGGAAGGTCTTGATTACTTTATTACATATTCACCTGTAACGAGGATAACATCCATTTGGATGTTAATTGCAATTGCTGCTCTACACAATCTGCAAATACATCAAATGAACGTGAAGACTATGTTTCTAAATGGTGAATTGAACAAAAAAATTTACATGGAATAACCAGAAGGGTTCCAAGCTAAAGGCCAAGAGCATAATGTGTGCAGATTGGTTAAGTCCTTATATGGGCTGAAACAAGCTCCAAAACAGTGGCACGAGAAGTTTGACAGTGTCATGATCAATGATGGATTCACTATAAATGAATGCGACAAGTGTGTTTACACTAAGACAGTTGGAGAGACATGCGCTATTTTCTGTCTATACCTAGATGACATGCTGATTCTTAGGACTAATGATGAAGTCATTAAGTCCACCAAACAAATGCTAATAAAAAATTTTGATATGAAGGACATGGGTATTGCTGACGTAATTTTAGGCATTAAAATTAGTAGAACACCATATGTAATCTTTCTATCTCAGTCACATTACATAGACAAGATGTTAGAAAGATTAAAAGAATTTAGGATCAAAGAAAACACAAATCCTTTCCTCCCTCACATTCACCTTCGTAAGAATACAGGAGTTGCAACGAGGAAACTGGAGTATTCACAGATCATTGGGAGTCTAATGTACCTAATGAACTGACACAAGGCCAGATATTGCTTACGCTGTAAGTAAACTAAGTAGGTACACTAGTAATCCCAGTAAAGATCATTGGTCTGCCTTACTAAGAGTAATAGGCTACTTGAAGAATACAAAGGATTATGCATTGAGATATGAAAATTATCCACCTGTACTTGAAGGGTATAGCGATGCTAACTGGATTACGGATTCCAAGGAATCAAAATCAACTAGTGGATATGTCTTTACTCTCGAAGGTGCGGTTGTATCTTAGAAATCCTAGAAACAAACACGCATAGCTCGTTCCACGATGGAGTTAGAGTTTATTGCATTAGATAAAGCTGGGGAAGAAGCAGAGTGGCTTCGACAATTCCTCGAGGATATTCCATTATGGCCTAAGCCTGTGCACGCAATATGCATTCATTGTGACAACCAAACAACGATTCAAAGGGCACAAAATTTTGTGTATAACGGTAAGTCTCGACATATTCGTCGCAGATACAACATGGTTAAGCAGCTGCCCTCGAATGGCATTATCTCCATTGACTTTGTGGCATCAAAAGATAACTTAGCGGATCCGTTTACTAAAGGTTTAAGTGGAGAGCGTATAAGCTGCGCATCGAGGGGAATGGGGCAAAAAGCCTAACCATACTGAGTCGACTTAATGGAAACACTCCTTAGCGACTGGAGATCTCACGTACTAAGTTTAAAGGGAAAAACTGATTATGATAAATAACAAAAGAAAAAGATTACAACTTTCTTGAAAATAAACACAAGATCCGTTTATCGGCTCTTGCTTGCGTGGGTTCTTTGCCGGTGCCGGGGGTAAAAAGTTACCTTAGTCATTGATTTCATTAAACTTTAAGCGTTACAAATGAATTCAAATAACAAAAGAACAAAAGATTACAACTTTCTTGAAAATAAACACAAGATCCGTTTATCGGCTCTTGCTTGCGTGGGGTCTTTGCCGGTGCCGGGGTTAATCCGTGGACGACCGCGAATCAGATCCGGGTGATGGAAAATTGGGCAGAGATTCTACCTCACCAAGGGGGTATTTGCTTGAAGTCCTGAAATCAACAAAGCGAAATCAGGGCTCTTCTCGAGATTAAGACTAAGCCTAATCTCAAGGAACGGACGTACGAGGGACGGGAACGGGCGTCGGATCTCTCGAACTCTCCTTCTTTATGCCGAAGAACTCGCCAAGATCTGTCAACCCTCGCTGAAATTCGTGCTCCTTTGACTCCACAATCCGGCAGCACCTCCTCGTCTTGATAATCAATCGCCCTAGAAAATGGAGGCCTTTGGCTCATATTTATAGGCCTCAAAATGCGGTTATTTGGATAAGAACAAGGGATTTGGCTCTATCTTCAGTCAACAGCAGCCTAACAACGTTTAGAGATGATCTCAAGTCAGTTAAGAACCCCTGGAACCGATAAACCCTGCAAAAAACCAATTTAAAACTGTCAAAACGTGTTTTGGGACTTTAGACTGCGCAACAGAACTATCTGACCCGCGCTCGCGCAGGTCGGATTGATCCGACCCGCGCTTGCGCGGGTCGGATCATTCCGTCCTGCGCTTAGCGCGGGTTCGCCGACTTTTTTCCCTTTTTTGGTTTCTTTCTTCCGGGACTTGTTCTTGTCGCGTATTCGATAGATTTGTTGACTTGTGTGCTTCGTCGCGAGACCGATCGTCGAACGCGCGTTGGTTAACATACGCGTGCTGATCGATGCGCGCGGGCTGATTGACGTGCGTGCGTTGACCGGCGCGCACGAGTTGGTTTGACGTGCACTCGTTGACCGACGCGCATGAGATGATTTGACGTACGCGCGTTGACCGGACGTACGCGCGCTGACCGGCGCGCACGAGTTGGTTGACGTGCACGCGTTTGATCGGCGCGCACGAGTTGGTTTGACGTGCACGTGTTTGACTGACGCGCACGCGTTGATTGACGTGCGTGCGTTGACCGGCACGCACGAGTTGATTGACGTGCGCGCGTTGACCGACGCGCACGAGTTGGTTTGACGAATCTTCTTGACTCGCCCATTCATTGCTTCGAGTTTCGTGCGGGCTCTCGTAGACAATTTTAGACGCCTACAGTCTCCATCCTATTCCTATGGTGCACCAAGTGCGGCCTACAAATGGGTTTAGGATAAGCGTAAAGCTTTTAATGATGCTTATAACTTGTTTTCAAAAACAAGTGGAGTAGAGTAGGCTACTCTTTATAGGACGATCACCTATGTAAGTGTAGAGCTGAGGGCCGGCTCTTTGGGAATCTTTATGGAGGCTGTGATTCTCTAAAGACACTTTCTGAAACCAAGAATGTTCACAGCCAAAATGGACACAACCGAGAACCAAAGCCGATTTTGGGAAGTTGTTACGTGAAACTTGTTGACTTGGCTTACATCTACGACTGACAGTTCAAGACTTAGTTCACTGATTGGTCTAGTAAGTCTGATAAGGTTTCACTAAGGAATGTTCAAAGACCTAGTTCACCTATCCTGATGTGGCTGCTTTCCTAAAGTGCTTTTCACAATAGAGTCAGTTTTGTAGTTAGTCAATTTTCTTGAATCTTTATTCATGTGGGGGATTGTTTGGGAAACTTGAATTTTTCCAAGTAAATTTTGGGTAAATTGAGCCAAATGTTTTGGTGGGTCCCACTGTCCGAAATGGATGGGAGTGAGTTTGAATGTGTTCTTCATTCAAAGGCAATGGATCTGGTATACTCACTTGTCCAAATCGGTTTCTAAATCAATGAGATATTCAAGTCGGAAGATGGACCAAAACTAAAGTTTAATGGGCGCATCTAATCACGAAGAGTCGCAACTGTTCGGTTGAGTTGTGTCTGTTTGAATCCGAACAGTCACTTTTTTATTCTGAATGGGTGCGTCCTTTGATGAAGGGATGTTTTTCAAAAGACACCTAGTTCCTATAAAAGGAACCAAAAATCTCATTCCTAGAAACAACTTAACATTGAATCAAATCCAATGTGTTTAAGAGAGATCTGAATTTTGTGTTCGTTCTTCTTCCATTCGGTTTCCTTTCCGGTCAAGTGGTGGAAGGCACAATTAGCTTTGGTTCGCTAGTACAGCTTTGTAGAAGTGCTTCTCCGAAGCTATGAAGGAGTGTTGTATCTTGGGAGACAACGTTCGATCATCCTGTAAGCACCATAGCAGTGGGCGTAATTTGTCTTAAGGAGATTCGTCACTTGACGTACCTCACTCCAGCAATTCTAAAAGTCCTTTTCAAAAGTGCTTCTTCTAAAAGTGTTTTTCCTAACAGTTCTTTTCAGGCATATTTTATTCAATTTGATTTCGGTTATTGATTTAATACTGAATTATTTTACTACGAAACTAACATGGCTTAATTACATGACAGTGGGTTGACAGCCCATTTTGTAAAATGAGCTGTCAGTTCACAGCCATTTTCTTCTCTTTAGAATTATATACTTATCTGCTTGCTTTAATTCTCACCTCCTTTGTCTTCTTTTGGAGGTCTATGATCTTGTTATTCCAGTTGCTGAGGTAGGATCTCACAAACTGATCAACCTTAGGCAGCAGCTGGACTCTGACCATTGAAGGGCCAACATGACCAAGAATTGAAGTCTTCATGGTCTTGTGATCTGGGCCGCTCAGGGCTGCGAGGGTCTTCTCCCCCCATAAATCCATCATGAACTTTGGGTATCCAGGTAAAAACCCCTTCTTTTCATTCGTCAGGATGTATCTATTGAGTTCCGGATCCGCGCACACAACCGTTGGACTTCCCAGTAGATGTGACTTAAACAAAGGCCCATACCTGTAAACAAACAATTTTTACGTAATTAGATCACTACTTTTTCACTAGCTCGGTACTTAATTAGACTGTACTCTCTCGTATTACTCGCGGGTTCAATCTAATTAGTCATTATTTTGATAAAAGTTGAAGGAAAATGACCCCATGCTTTCCTCCCTTACAACGTGAGAGTAATTTAGGGAGAGATGTCTCGTTGACATTACTTCAAGAAACATTAACTCGTTTAAATGAGACACTCACTTTCCACTATACACTAGTGCTCAGAATGTAGTAAAGGCATCAAATATTCTAAGTAAAAAAGGTAAAATAAAAAATGGCAAAAAAAAGGAAAAACAAAATAATGTTACTTTATGTCAAAGAAGCTTACGGCCATACTTAATCTTCAAAGTTGTGATGAAGATAGAGGGTTATAATTTTATAGGTTGAGGCCGCTTTCAATGGCCAAAATCTGGACTCATTAGTAATGATTAACAATATTGTTAATCATTACTCTATATAAGATTAAAAAAACCAAAATCTTTTTTTTTTCCAATCTAGTTAGAAATTTGTGGTCTGTATAAAATTTGAACTTGAGTGACTATGATACAATGTCAAATAACCTTGCCACTACACTAAACCTCTAAAGCTGTTATGAGTGTTGAGGTGTTGATGATTATAATTATATTCTAACACTTCAGATGACTATAATTTTAATATGTTGAGATGCCTTGAATCCATCGACTTCTTATGTCAGCTCATCAATCTAGTCGTACTACGAATAACCCAGCACAGGGGTCTCGCTTCCTGGTCAGTGAGCCAAGGGTCCAGGGGGCGGCGCGCCCTTGGCTGGGGGGGGGGGGGGCCAGCGCCTCGAAAGTCCACGGTATACATCAGGTTCTGTATTTGGTTTTATTACTTGGGCCCTGTTATTTAGCGCCTAGGATTTTCTGGAGTGCTATATAAACTCCTTTTGATGTAACTTGTATTTTATAGTCTCACATATAATAAAATATCTCTCTCTGCTCGTGGACGTAGCTAACACAACATTAGTGAACCATGTAAATCTTTCGATCTTCACTTTATTGTTATTTTTATCGCATCTGTTCCAACATAATCAATGTTATAATTATATTCTAACACTACATATGACTATAATTTTAATCAAAGTTATATTTCATCCGTTCTAGGGACTGTTTGGTTGGATAAAGATAGAATTGCAAGGATAATTAAGTAGAGCAACCAAATTTATAAAATGCATTGTTTGGCTTTAATTGGGCTAATTGGACTAATTGTCACTGTATTTACTAATTGTCACTATATTTATCTCCTCGTCATTGGACGGTCATACATATGTTTTATTTACTTTAAGGATCGATCATGTAATTAGATACTAATTGGATCGCTAGTCACTATTACCTTTTTATGTTAATTTAAGCTCTATATTTTTCTTCATTTTAAGAAATACAACATTCTCAATGTGTCATGATATTTTCAAGAATAAAATGGCAAATCGAATATAGTTACCCAATAAAAGTTCTCAATATTGATAAATTTTTTATTTCCAAAAGTGATCAAGATGTCACACATAGGACAAAGTCTGTTATGTCAAATGGTCAATATTTTTTATGTCACATCACTACAATCCGTTATATAACTAATGAAAAATATTAGAAATGATTAACGATCCAATTAGTACTTAATTACATGACTAGCTTTCCAAACAATTAAAATGTAGATATAAGCATCCAATTAAGGGATAAATATAGTGATCGACCATCCAATTAACTCATTCTAAATGGGTTTGTATCATAAAGAAAGGAACCTGCAACAAATGCTATGATCAATATGGTAAGGGGCTGTTTGGTTGCACACTTTTTGAGAAAACTCTTCTCAAAACATCTGACAATGACAAATTTGTAATTAAGAGTTTTTCAGAGATTTCTGTAAATTGTGTTTGGTTCAACAAAAAAATTACAGAAATATTTTCTATAAAATATCAAAACCTACCAAATTTTACAAAAAGTAATTTCCTCTCAAAATGAGAGGAAATCACCAGAAATCTGACACATACCATATTTAATTAAAAACCTACCAAATCTTGTTATTTTCTATAAAGTTATGAGCTATTTTTTTGTTTTGAACCAAACAACCAAATTACAAAAAACAAGAAAATTGGTACTTTTTGATTTCTCAAAACTTTTCCTATAATTTTTTTAAGAAATACAAGGAAATCATATTTTAGGTGGAAAACATTTCCTATAATTTCTAGAAATTGAACCAAACACCCTCTAAGAGGAAAAGCTAAGAAATTAAAAAAGAAACTTGAAAAATAGAAATAAGTTTAACTCATCTGATAAATCTTTTAAATCCACATAGGAAACCACTTAGACGCAAGTTTCCTTATACGGAAATTAAATTACGTAGTGGCTGCACACTAAGGCTGTTTGGTTGTATGTTTTTACCATGTAAAAGGATGGAAAGTGTAAAAAAGTGGGCCTCAATGTCAGCTTTCATCACTTTCAATTGTTTGTTTGTAGTTGTGAAAATAGTGTAAAGTGATTTCATATGCTGATGTGGCTTGTAAAGTGATTTCATTAAAAAAAACATGATTTTAGGAGAAAGCTGACATTGAAGTTAGAAAAAAATAATAAAAAATAATTTCAACCAATATGATCATTTGAGTAGGGACCACTTTTTACACTTTCCAAACAAACAATTAATGTTACATTTGCAAACCAAACAAGCAATTTATGATTCCAATGGAATCAAAAACAAACAAAGAAAAGTATACAAGTGAAATTGATGAGGTGGACAACAACTTTCCAAGTTGTGTCATAAATACACAATTTTACCAACAACAACCAAACATTGAACTTGCATCAGAAATATATTTTTCGCAATATAATTGCAGGTATGCAAACAACAAATTTGAAGTTGATTTCCTGTTGCAAATGTTGCACGCAACATCTTAATATTAATACAGTCTATTTACCAAACAAATTTGCAAAAGATTATTGTAGTTAAAAAAAAAATCTCACCTAGACGTCCGATTCTTCATGAAGTCTGGCCCTTGCCAAATAAACTTAATTGACTCTCCTAATATTGGCCACCCCATGGTGCCTGGAGGCAACCCCTCCTTCCTATATCTCATCTCATTCCAATTCAAGAGTGCACAAAAAATGAACAAAAAACCCAAACCCAAACCAAGAATCACTTCTAATAAAGCCATTAAGCTCTCGCAACTCGATCACCTCTCTTTAAGCTAGAAATGAGATTACTTGTTCTGTGTTCTCAAAAGTCCGTGTGTATTTATAGGCCTTGATCTAAGAAGTTATATATTAATTAACCCGGAAGAATTTTCATTTTTTTTTCAAAAATAGAGATAAAAAATGGAGATTTAGCCAACTTTAAAAATAAAAATAAAAAAACCAGTCGTTTGAGTACTAGGTATTCTTAGGAGTTAAGTAGTAGTATTTATTTTATTTTATTTTATTTGGGGTTTAATCCGTTTTTAGATGCATGGATCGTGAGTTTACCTCATTAAATATTCCTCGATCTACTAAGTTCTAACTAAGAAAGTGCAGCGGCGACCATAATTTTATATTCTAACAAATAAACAAATGATAAATTTTACTAAACCCCTTATACTGTCTTTTTTTTTGAGATAACCTCCTTAAGTACTTTATAAATTCGGAAAAAACTGCAAGTTACGCACAGTTGTGGATGAAAGACAAGAGATGATTGAGGAAAAAGGAGTAGTTACGCAGGAGACCTTGTTTCTCCTCTTTCCTTCTCCTTCCACCTATATCTGTCCAAAAAAAATTTAAGGCTAACAAAACAACGCATCAAACTTAAACAAAAAACTGAGATCAACAAATTAAATAACATGCCAAACTTATAAAAAAAGGCTCATATTAATTTCTAAAGTTAAATGTTACTTTAGACTTTTTGTGCTAACTATAAAACTAAAATATTAATTTTAAAAGTTTAAATATCAACTTTAACTGTTAAGTATTAACTTCATCGTGACTTTAAGAGATGGTCATTTTAGCCAAAAAGAGATGACCTTTAAAGAATGCAACGACGGTTATGGAAGAAGAAGGATTAGTGATGAAAGAGGAACAATAGCATAGGAGAAGCTATGAGTCTATGACCATAAAAAAATAATGATGCAATGGTGGAGGTGGCGACGTAAGAGATAAGGGTCGATTGAGTAGAGAGAGGAGGAAGAGGGAGTATGATTTACTGGTTTATAAGAAAAAAGGGACGAGAAGTTCAGGGTAATAATTGTTTGTAAATAAAGAAAAGTGGTCTCTCCCTGCTGACGTGGTTTTTCACTTGAGAAACTGAGTCATGTGTTTTTTTTGGTCAATGAATGAAAACTTTATTCATCACCAAATATAGAAATGAATGTGCACATCCAGTTACAAGAAAACTAAAACTGGTTATATCACCCCAGTCAACAAACCTTTACAAACTCTCAATGAAATCTTTCATATGATGTGGTATATTTTCATTCAAAATCTTTGTGTATATACATATCTTCACCGCACGGAAAAGCTATTCAGGCCCTCGAGCTTTCTGCTGAAAAATTCTTTGATTTCTCTCTTGCCATAGGAGATAAACAGTGTAAAACCCCAAAAATTTCTACAATAAATTTGTGTGAATTATTAATAGTAAATATTTTCCTTGTGATGAATAATCATATATATACACATATATATGTCATATGAGTGTAATTATCTGTGTTTGAGAACCCAACAAGTGATTTTAAGTGAGAGAAATCGAGTGTTATGGCCAGCGTGTGAAATGCCCAGCAGCAGGCATTTTTGTGCTGCGCGGTCGACCGACGCGGTCGACCGCACAGCGGTCAGAGAGCTTCCAGGTTTTGTTTTCTTTGCGGTTTTGTTTCGGGTCTTTTGGGTTTCGGGTCGGGTTAGGGAGTTAGTATTTATACCAACTCAACCCAGGAGAGCCTCTCTTCACCTCAGGCTCAAAACCCTAGCCCCCATCTTTCAAATCTCAAACCCTAGCTGGATTTGGTGCTTAGGAGGAGATCTGGAGGATCTTTTCAGCGGGATCTTGGATTGGCAGCGTAGAGAATCAACCTCCTGCAGATCTAGGGCTTCCGTCAACACCCAAGGCGAGTAATTTCTCGCCCAACCCCCACCCCTTTCGTTTTCATGTCAAGAACTGAGTTTTTATTGGTTTTTATGGAGCCAAATTCGTATTTTAGAATAGCTAATAGAGTATTGTGGCATAGAATATGGATTTGGGATTTTATCTGTTTTAAAAACTCACCAACGTTTCCTGTTAACAGATCTAGATCTGAAAATACCTAGGAAAGGAGTAAAAACCCTGTTTTTATTGTTAACGATGAGTAAATCATGTTTATACATTTATGGAATCTTGGTGGCAAAGTTTTAAAGGTTTATTTTTCGTGATTTTACTGATCTGCCGCGACGGTCGACCGCGGCGCCCTGGCGGTCGACCGAAATGCCTCGTGTCAGAGCGCGGTCGACCGGTCCGGTCGACCGCCGCACAGTCTGTCTGATTCTGTCTGTTTGTCCATGTTCGAAGTTTTGGCCTGTTATTTGACTCTGGTTTGAAGTCTTACTATGTATTCATGCATGATAGATGACCTGAGGGTATGATTTGGGGACTTATACACTGTTCGAGTGTGGATTGATATAAGTAGACTTCTCTATATACATCATAGCGATATTTCCACTATTTCACAGTCCTCGTGTTGGACTATAATCCATAGAAGTCCTCGTGTTGGACTATAATCTATTTCAGTCCTCGTGTTGGACTATAATCCATTTCAGTCCTCGTGTGGGCTATTTGCCACTTATTCTATGAGTTGGAAACTACCTTATATAGTTCCTGTTTCGGACACAGTTCTTAACCCTGCATATGACCTTCTCACAGAAGTTCACGACATGATTTTGACATGACATTCATGTAGGCTATGATATGGTACTGCGCTTGTGTTCTGAGATTTGTTGTATTTCATTTATTATTGTTCCTATATTAGAACCTCGGGTTTGGCGATTAGGGGTTTACAATTTGAGATATAAGGTATATACATGAGGGTTTCCTTGTCTGGATTATTTCGCTTGACATACCTATTCTCGTGTTGTAAATTTCTAACTACTAAAACCCTCTTTAGCAAGACCAATGATTTTAGATCTATTATATATTAACTGTATTTTCTTATACAACAAGCCCTTTCCCTTGGGGTTGGTTGTGATGTTACTCGCTAGCGCTTTGACGCTCGTTGTCCCTCCCCCTTTCAGGTCACGAGCCAGGAGCACGGAGAGCCGCAGGTTGATAGTGGACCACTTTAGTGTTCAGCTTTACATTTTTAGCTATGTAATAATTTCTTTGGGCTCCACTGTAATTGGTATTATACATTTGAGGACTATACCATAGATGTTGTAAAGGTTGTATGCCTTATATCCTTCATTCAGACTTGTTGTATTTGAGGTTTGTTGAGAACCTCAGTATTTTCATTTCAGACATTGTCTTTGTATTTTCTGTATGTTGGATGATGAAATAGTATTTCGATCCCTATCATTTCATCAGTTATCTCTTATATTATCTTTTACTTGCTTTTTGTACCTACACCTGTTATTGACTCTACTAGAGTGATAGAATTGTGATGGTGAAACATGTTATTGCACGGTGTGGTGCATGGCAAGTTTGACATTCTTGATTTCACCAAGGACTGCAGCCTTGTGTGAACCCAGGGGCGTCACAAACAGATACTGACAGAGCAATTCTCTTCAACTTCTTTTTGAAGCCTTTTCCCCTCAAATTCCTGTTATACCAATTGTAAATCTGGTTCCAACTACAAGACTGCCAGTTAAATTTCAGCCATTCCATTACTTTTCTCCACACATACGTAGAATATTGACAGTCAAAGAAGATATGTTGATAGGTTTCTGTTTGGTTATCACTTGAGCACAATATGCACTGATTTGAGCTTAACACTCTCAATTTACACAGTCTTTCTTGTGTGAGTAACCTGGAAAGAGAAGCTAACCACAGGATGAAAGAATGTTTGGGGTAATGCCACCCCACCCCCCATATAGTCTCTGATCCTTCAAACAAAGTAGCCTGCTGCTGAAAAAGAACTCTGTAAATCAGTGAAATGCTGATATTGCCGTTGACACAGCAACTATTAATTGCATTCAATAGGTTATTAACACTTCTCATCTTTTCCCTCATCATGTTTCTAGCTTTTAGGAGTTGTTTCCACATCCATGAGTCACATTCTTTGGACTATATCTGCCATATATTAGTTTGCCTCAGATATGTGCCGTGCACCCACTTAATCCAAAGAATATCTTTTTTAAGGTGTATCATCCAAAGTAATTTAGCTGTTGTTGCATAATTCCAGAGTTTAGCTGAGAATAAACCCAAGCCCCCATGCTTTATATCTTGACAAACAGAGCTCCAAGATACCAAGTGGATTTTGTGGCCCCAAAGGAAATTAGAGCACATGCTATCAATCCTTTCAAGCACCTTAACAGGAAGGATAAAATTACTTGTCCAGAAAATTTGAATACACATGCTATCAATCCTTTCAAGCACCTTAACAGGAAGGATAAAATTACTTGTCCAGAAAATTTGAATACCCAAAATGACTGATTTTATCATTTGCAATCTCCCAGCGTAAGACAAAGTCCTTGTATTTTGCCAATTTTGAAACTGATCTGATATCTTGTTGATGAGGGGAGAGCAATCAAGCCATGAAAGCCTTTTTGAAATAAGTGGCATCCCCAGATATTTTATAGGCAGGATTCCCTCTGAAAAATTAAGACAGTCACAAATCTGGCTCTTCAGACTATCTTCAATCCCACACATAAAAATTTAACACTTAGAGGGATTAGGATTCAAACCAGAGACCTGACTAAACTCAATTAGGCAGTCCCTCAATCTTGATATTGAGTACATATCTGCTTTACTAAACAAGAGGAGATCATCCGCAAAGATTAAATGTGACAACTTCAATCTTGAACACTTGGGGATGGAATTTAAACAGTCTATCATTCTTAAGAGTGTTTAGCTTGCGAGACAAGTATTTCATACCAATAACAAACAAATATGGAGAAATGGGATCACCTTGTCTTAATCCTCTAGCTCCTTGAAAGTAGCCATGAAGAACTCCATTAATGGATATGGAAAATCTAGGAGTGGAAATGCATTCCATAATCGAAGAAATCATAATATCAGGGAATCCTAATCCTTTCAACATAGCTCTTATAAAATCCCAATTAATGGTATCAAATGCTTTCCTTAAATCAATATTCAAAACAGCTCTAGGGGAAATGTGCTTTCTACCATAGTGTTTGACTATTTCATGAGCTAGAAGAATATTGCTAAGCTCTAGGGGAAATGTGCTTTCTACCATAGTGTTTGACTATTTCATGAGCTAGAAGAATATTGCTAGATATTAGTCTACCTTTAACAAATTCTACCATAGTGTTTGACTATTTCATGAGCTAGAAGAATATTGCTAGATATTAGTCTACCTTTAACAAATGCACTCTGAGCTTCACTTATCAAGGATCCCATTACCTTTTGAATTCTGGATGCAATGATTTTTGTGATGATCTTGTAAATACAATTGCAGCATGATATTGGCCTGTAATCTGCAGCATACTGAGGATCAAAGATTTTTGGAATCAATGTGATGGAGGTAGAGTTGAATGCACCAAGAAGCTTCCCAGAGCTAAAAAATTCCTCCACTGCTGCATAAAGCTCATCTTTTATAACATTCCAAGATGCCTTGAAGAAGAGTGCACCGTAACCATCAGGACCAGGGCTTTTGTCATTAGACATAGAAAAAACTGCTTGTTTTATTTCCTCTCTTGTTACTGGAAGACTGAGCATTTGCCTCTGTTCAGGTGAGAGAAGAGGTCCATTTACTATCACTTCTGGATCAGGAGTTGCAGTAGGAACAGAAGTACCCAAAATCTTTTTGTAGTAATCAATGATTTCTGTAATAATTTCAGATCTGTCAGTAATTCTAGTCCCATTATCAGTGTATAGAGTCAATATTCTGTTGAGGTGCCTTTTCTTCTTCATGATAGAATGAAAAAATCTTGATCCCTTATCCCCTTGCAAGCTCCAGTTTATGTTAGCTTTCTGCTTGTAATAAGAAGATTCACAATCAATCAATCTGTCATATTTTTTGATGCATTGTTTTTCCCTTGCAATCAAATCTGAGTTGAAAAGATCATCATTCAACTGCCTTTGAATATCTGCTAAATCTTCCTTAGCTCTACATACTTGTTCACTTATATTCATGAAGTGATTTTTATTTAGCTCTTTGAGGGCATGTTTAAGCTTTTTGAGCTTAGTATGAAACCTGAACATATTGTAGCCTTCACTGCTTTGCTCCCATATAGAATTTACTGTTGAGATAAAATCTGGATGCTTAACCCACATATTGAAGAACTTGAATGGCCTTTTACCCTCAAAAATATCATCTTCTATGGTTAATAATGCCGGAGAGTGGTCAGAGCATTTTGGCATGAGATATTCCACCTGACTTGAGGTGTACGAGTGGATCCAGTTCTCATTAACCAAGCATCTATCCAGTCTAGACCAGATTCTGCTATCAGCCTCTTGTTTGTTACACCAAGTATAGTAAGAACCAGTAGATCTTAAATGCAACAGCTGACTAGTGTTAATAAAGCTTTGAAAATCCTCAATGTCAGCTTTAGTAACTGGCAACCCTCCAATTTTCTCTTCACTACTTGCAATAGCATTGAAATCTCCACCAATAATCCATGGACTAATAACATCTTGCTTTAAATTAAGTAAATCCCTCCATAGATTTTTCCTGCTAGCCATTTGGTTTGAAGCATATACTATAGTGCATAGACTGGTAAACCTTCCATCCCTGGATTCAATAGTGCATGTAATACATTGTTCTGATAAGATAACATTTTTGACTGCCAAAATATCACTATCCCAAAGAATCCATATTCTACCATTTCTAGCTTCTTGCACATTAGAGACCCATTTCCAACTTTTAGTAATTTTGCTTGCTAGACTTTGCAACTTGTTCTCAGAGAGCTTTGTTTCCAAAAGAGCTAATAAAGAGAGATTATATTCTTGAATAAAATGCTTGACTATTATATGTTTAGAGGATTTATTGAATCCTCTAATGTTCCAAATGGCAAGATGCATCAAAGAGATTTACCACCTCTGTCTGCACAGGATGGATCAGAAATCAGCTGCTCTAGGGGAGAGATGGCAGAGTACCTGAAGTAACTGGTGCAATTATATTAACTCTCCTTGCTATGTTGCTTCTGTTCACACTTATAAACCCTGATGCATTAACAGTTGGACTGATCTGTTGGAAGCCAGATGCTTTTGGGGAGAAGTCTTGCTGATACAGGGCATGTTCATTCACTTGCATAAATTGATTTGAGCTAGGGGTGGTTACCCTTTCACTCAAACCAAAATTGCTCTCCCAGTTTCTCCTTGTCTGTGCAGTATCTTCCTGTGCATGTTTTACATTCTGTGCATGTTTCTCAACAGATTGTGCTTCCTGATTTGATGAACTAATAACATGATCCTTAGAAGTTATTACATTCTCAGACTCCTTGCCAGATCCAGAATTAGATACATGTTCAACATTTCCATTTGTAGCATTTCCAGTCTGCCTGTTAACAGGAACCCACACCTTCTTAGTTTTATTTCTTCTGCACTGTTCAGTATCATGACCAACCATACTGCATGTAGAACACCACTTAGGTTTAAATTCATACAAAACTTGCTGCATATAGCTTTTTCCATCAGGCCCTTCAATTTTCAAAAAATCAGGCAAAGGCTCTTTAAAAGGGAGTTTCACCTCTATTAAAACTCTAGCATAACTCAATCTCTGTCTAGTGGCCGTGAGCTTATCAGTAGTAATAGGTTTCCCAATTAGGCTAGCAATTTTACTAATACCAGTTGAGCTCCAAAGATTAAGTCTTAATCTTGGAAATTGGACCCACATTGGATAGGAAAAATCCTGAAACTTTTCTATGTCTGTATCAATACTCCATGGCTTCAACATTAAAGGTCTTGATCCAAAAAACCAGGGCCCTGCCTCAAGAATATCATTCATTTGCTTTTGAGTTTGAAAATCAAATAGGAATAACCCTTGTTTGATAAGAGAGATCTTAGGTATAGAGATTTTACCCCATAGCATGTTAACATAGGATTCCATTGACTTAAACTTGACATTCAAACCTATAACATGTCCAATTAAGGCATTTATCCATAATTCTTCACCTTGCTTCCATTCATCAGCAGTAAAAGAGGCAGTATTTGTAAGGGAAGATGGCATGTAGCTTAGGGATAATCCATTGCCTGATTTCCTGTTATCAGAAAAGAGGCTAACAAACGTTTTACTGGTTTCAGTTCCTATTTTCTCCTGTAATACATCGTTGACTTTTTCCTTTACAGGTTCATTCTCATTTTCCAGGAACACATCATTAACTTTTTCCTTTACTGGTTCATCCTCTTTTTCTTCCAGATGCAAAAACACAGATTCATTAAAAACAGAATCAGGTTGATGATCCTTAGTAAGCACATTTTTCCCATTTATATCAACAGATCTGACTTCTACATAATTCCTCACATCAGAAATCAATGTAACAGTATCCGGACCAGCTATCAGATTTGAAATCTCTGAAGCTGAATCATGAATTCTTGACTTTGAAGAAGAACTTTGAAACAGAGGAAAATCTGAAGAAGTTACCTCAAATTCAACCTCTTCAGCCCAGGAAACCCTAGGGGGTTTATTAGCACCATTACCAGAGATTTGAGAACTACTGAGATGACGAGTTTGAACTCCATTAATCTGAGTTGAATGCAGAGATTGTTGCGGATTGATCATGAAATCAGAAGATTTAAGTATTTCCTCCATTGATTTCTTCATCTTTTCTCCCTTTGGACCAGTCGATCCCATAATACTGGATCCATCATCATCACCATCCAAACTTGTGTCAAAATGATCCTCAGAGTGTAGCGAATTGAGGCTAGAGGATCTTAATCCAATATTAAGAATCTTTCTTCCACTCCTCTTCTTCTTCTAACTGAGTCATGTGTTGGACTCGCATACTCTGTAATTCAAGTTGGGACAAATAGAAACTTTTAGACTAGGACTTGTTTTTTCTAAAATTCCAAAAAAAAAAGAGGAAATTGCTTCCACCTCCCTAGCTTTTTAAAATCAAGTCTTTCATCCTATTTTAAAAGTCATATCCAATAAATAGACCAATCTTTCCGAGACCCCCCTGTACCTACATGCTTTTATTTGTATTTTTAAAATACCGATATTACTCACATCTCCTTCATCATTCTCTTCATTTTTTTTATCATCGCACCAATCCATGTCTATCTAATAACCATCGATTTGCCATCGCCTCCTCTTCTCCCTCGTCAGAAGCAGTCGCTCTCTGCTAATGTCAATGTAGCTCCAGAATGGGCTTACATATTGTTGGTTTTGGGGATGTAGACCCAAACCTCGGAACAAGCACATCACGATTTTCTAAGTTAAGAGATCAGGCGCACTTGGCAGGATTCTCTAAGTTAAGAGATCAGGCGCACTTGGCATGCATACCCTCTTGGCATGTAGACGAACTTCAGTTTAGACAAACTTCGCAGAAAAACAGATTCCCATTCTGTTTCAGTTTTAGGGTTTCCATATAAATAGGGAAACTTGGTGGCTGTTTATGTGCGATTTTTTCAGAGCAGTTTTTGAGAACGCCCAAAGAGAGATCACCGTTTGCAAGCTTTGTAATATTTTTCAATAATCAAAGAAATTCGATGTGGCTCCCGAGTACATAGGCCCGTTTGCTGAACTTCGTTAAATCTGATGTTCTCTTCTTTATTTGTTCTTTCCTACATCTTTTTGCTTTTGTTGTGAATTCTTGCTTGCTATTTGCTCGTCACAAGATCCGAATGGCATAGGTTGTCGATAGTTCAACCCCAACACATATTAAAAATCTCACATAATGATGCCAAGCCACATAAAAACATACCAAACCTCTTAACATTTTAGAATATTGGTTCCATTTCCTAGATAAGCAACTGCTATATCGCACAATTTTGAGAATATTCAACAACTTTTATTAATGGTCAACTGCAGATCATCGATGGTTCAAAATCTGGTTTATGTTTCTCCGATTCTTTATTGTAGTCCATCGATGACTTGACTGACCATTGATGGCGCATCGTGATCATCAATGGTTCAAAGGTTGAAATCAGTGATCGTGTTATTTTTTGCATCATTTTAAACTATAACTTATTCATACATGTTTATACCTGGAATATATCATCTCACAAGTATATCAATAGTAAATGAGAGTCTGTTATTAATCAAACAAGAGATATTGCACCAACAGTGTTCTACCCAAGCAATTTTCTAACACTACCCCATATTTAAATTGCCCCCCCCACGCCCCCACCCCCGCGTTGTACCTCTTAGATAAAATGTAAACACAGCCTTCTTCCAACCCTAAGTTAAAAATTCCGTTAAATAAAAATTAAGAGGTCAATACTACCCTTCCCTTAAAGAAAATAATTTCTTATTAAACAAAATCAGTTCTTGTTAAAGGCCTCCCTCAAATTCATCTCACTATTTTCCTTTGGTTAGTATCACGTCTAATTAACGTGTGGCCGGTTCTCAAAACATTCTTCTACGCCGAGCAGATTAATTTATTGGACTTAGGAAATGGTTAACGAAGATTCACAATAGAATTACATTTATTGCCGAGAGGTTAATTAACTTCTTAGAACTGTCAGCCTTTCCTCTACGATATTTTATAGATTATGGGCCTGCAATATTACCTTTTATGGTACTTAATAAGAAAAATCAGCATATAAGTCTGCAAAATTTTATATGGAAGATTCACTGAGCAGTGTGATCTTATCATTTTAGGTTCCTCTTCATCCTTTCAAAACTGAAAACAATTCGCTTATGCTGTTATTCCCCCTGATAATTAATTGTCCAGAAATCTTACAAGTCTTCTATGTAATCATGAGAAATTTCAGAAATTGCTTTTTGAAACAAACTGCAGTTAATTAAGAAAGTGTGATTTAAAGTTTCTAGCCTTATATTTTATAACTTTCCCCCTACTTGGAATGCTATTTTTGACCAAGAGACTAACTCGATCAACAATTCTAATTACGATTGATTGTCTGTAATATACTCTTAATTTAACTAGTTGTCCATTTTCATTTTCCATTTGATACAGGGAATTTTTCTATGCGTTAATTTATTCTGTTAATGAGAATATATAATAAAAGAAAGAAAAAATGGATCTTGATCACCTCCTGCAAATGAGATGAAAGTTTATGCGAGCAAAGCAAACTAGTATTTATAATAGAAAAAGGTAAAAGAGTTATAATAGCTCTCTTTCTTAATGTTCGAAATGCACAAAACTGTCAACTACGGTTAATTATGTTACTCACTCTTATACTGTGGTTACCTAATATGTGGCTAATTATGTTACGTAAGTCTTTAGTTTTAGTGATTGATTTTTTAGTAAGCTTCGATTGGTATTAAATGGATTCAAAAGAGGTACTGTTCTAAGGGGGTGTTTGGTTCAATTTCTAGAAATTATAGAAAATGTTTTCCACCTAAAATATGATTTCCTTGTATTTCTTAAAAAAATTATAGGAAAAGTTTTGAGAAGTCAAAAAGTACCAATTTTCTTGTTTTTTGTACTTTACTTGTTTGGTTCAAAACAAGAAAATAGCTCATAACTTTATAGAAAATAACAAGATTTGGTAGGTTTTTAATTAAATATGGTATGTGTCAGATTTCTGGTGATTTCCTCTTATTTTGAGAGGAAATTGCTTTTTGTAAAATTTGGTAGGTTTTGATATTTTATAGAAAATATTTCTGTAAATTTTTTGTTGAACCAAACACAATTTACAGAAATCTCTGGAAAACTTTTAATTACAAATTTACCATTGTCAGATGTTTTGAGAAAAGTTTTCTCAAAAAGTGTGCAACCAAACAGCCCCTAAATCAAAAGTACAGTCACCTTTCGAAGGTAATGTAGTCATTAACGAAAAATTAACACCAAATTTCCATTAACGGGTGTTAAAAAAAGACTTAATTTGTAACAAAAATATGACATAGGATTAAGTTGAAAAAAAATAAAAGGAAAAAAATGCTTCCAGCCCCCAAAAGCTAAGGAAACGTGCTTCCCACCCCCAAAACCTTGTCAACGGGTGTTTTACCCCCAAAAATAAAGATTCTGTTCTCTGAGCCCTCAAAACACAAAACCCAAGACATTAAAATATGTGAAGACCATAATACCATTCTCTCTCTTTTTTTTATTAAAATATGATAAGGATTATTTTATTATTTTTGTTTTCTCTCTCTCTTTATCATGATGTACTGAGATGATAGTTGAAATGATTGATGAGGATTATTTTATTATTTTTGTTTTTTATTATTTTGGTTGTTTGTATTGAGAGATTGTTAAAGTTACGGGTTAATTGTTAAGGTTACGAGTTAATTGTTAATGTTACGGGTCAATTGTTAAGGTTATGAATCCTCTCTCTCTCTCTCTCTCTCTCTCTCTCTTTTTTATTAAAATATGATGAGGATTATTTTATTATTTTTGTTTTTTTTCTCTCTTTATCATGATGTACTAAGATGATAGTTAAAATGATTGATGAGAATTATTTTATTATTTTCATTTTTTATTATTTTTGTTGTTTGTATTAGGAGATTGTTAAAGTTACGGGTTAATTGTTAAGGTTACGAATTAATTGTTAATGTTACGAGTCAATTGTTAAGGTTATGAATCCTCTCTCTCTCTCTCTCTCTCTCTCTCTCTCTCTCTCTCTCTCTCTCTCTCTATCATGATGTTTCTTTGATGATATTGAAATGATTAAAGAGGATTATTATTTTATTATTTTCGTTTTTTATTCTTTTTGTATTTTTAGAATATTCGTTGTTAAGGATAATGGTTGGTTGTAAAAGTTATGCATTGATTGTTAAGGTTACGGGTTGTTAAGGTTAAGGGTTTGTTGTTAAGGTTATGGGTTTGTTGTGTAGGTTACGGATTTGTTATTAAGGTTACATGTTTAATTGTTAAGGTTACAGGTTTAATTGTTAAGGTTACGTATTTAATTGTTAAGGTTACGGGTTTAATTGTTACGGTTACGGTTTATTAATTGTTAAGGTTACGGTTTAATTATTAAGGTTACGAGTTTAATTGTTAAGGTTACGGGTTTAATTGTTAATGTTACGGTTTTAATTGTTAAGGTTACGGGTTTAATTATTACGGTTACGGTTTTAATTGTTAAGGTTACGGGTTTAATTGTTAAGGTTACAGTTTAATTGTTAAGGTTACGGTTTAATTGTTAAGGTTACGGTTTAATTGTTAAGGTTACGGTTTAATTGTTAAGGTTATGGGTTTAATTGTTAAGGTTACTGGTTTAATTGTTAATGTTACGGTTTAATTGTTAAGGTTACGGGTTTAATTGTTAAGGTTACAAGGAAGAGAGAGAAGGGATCCATAACCTTAACAATTGACCCGTAACCTTAACAATTAAATCCGTAACCTTAACAATTAAACACCCATAACCTTAACAACAAACCTTTAACCTTAACAACCAACCCGTAACCTTAACAATCAATGCATAACCTTTACAACCAACCATTATCCTTAACAACGAATATTCTAAAAATACAAAAAGAATAAAAAACAAAAATAATAAAATAATAATCCTCTTTAATCATTTCAATATATATATATATATATATATATAGAGAGAGAGAGAGAGAGAGAGATGATTCATAACCTTAACAATTGACACGTAACATTAACAATTAATTCGTAATCTTAACAATTAACCCGTAACTTTAACAATCTCCCAATACAAACAACCAAAATAATAAAAAATAAAAATAATAAAATAATCATCATCAATCATTTCCAACTATCA